CACCCATTGTACCACTTTTAGGATATGGCAACATCCGAGTACCACCAGTCGCCTAGCAAGGTGTCAAAAACTTGATGCCCCCCCCAAAAGGAAAAAAAGTGATGAAGTGCCAGTAGTCCTCGACTTACAACAGTTCGCTTAGTGACTGTTCAAAGTTACAATGGCACTGAAAAAAGTGCCTCCCAAGCCACAGCCGAGCAAGACACCTGCCTACCCACCCAGCGGCGCTCTTCCTCCTGTCCGAGGTTTTCATTGTTGTGAGCATTTCTGTTGAGGATTGGCAGCGGGGATGGGGTGGGGGGTGTTTGGTTTTTATTCCCCCCATCTGCTGGGTGCTTACAGCAGGTTTTGGTCACTTCACGTGACCCTGGGACACTGTGACCGTCATAAATATGGATCAGTTGCCAAGCATCTGAATGTAAATCACAAGACCCTGGAGAGGCTGCAACATTCCAGCTGATCCTGGTGCTTCTTCTGGGCTCAGCAGAAGCGCCAGGATCAGCGCCAAGCTCCTGATCCTGGTGCTTCCACTGAGCCCTGACAGCCCTGCAGCTCCAGCCATCTCTCGCTCAGGCTTGTGCGGTGCTGCCACCGGTTCAGCTCATTCCCCTCCCCCGCTACTTTTCTAGGATGGTCACGTATCACCTGCAAGGTGCCAATGTACCACAGGTGGTACCCGTACCAGTGGTTGAAAAGCCCTGAAATAGAATTCCTTGCAAAGAAATCCTTTTATAATTGACTGACTACCGTACAAAAAAGACTTCTATTGCTTGAGTAAGGTGTTGGACTAGACCTCCAAGGTCCCTTCCAGCTTTATTTTAATTGAAGAACACAATAGAAACATACAAACCTTTTATGCAAGTGAGACATTAATGTCCTCAGAAACAAGTGTTTCCAGCAGTTGGACTTCCTGACCCAGCTAAATCAAAATAAACAAATGTATATGCCCATCTTAACAACAGGAAACTGGCTTGCTGCAAAGTAGAAATCTCCAGCATTTCCAAGGAATTCCAAGACATCAAATAGCCTTTATTTCTGTCCGGGGTTATCAAGACCCATCAGGTATGTTACTGCCCTTCCTTTGCCCAGCCAGTGATACAGATAGGCAGTTCTAAGATAATATGCAATACCCGAAGCATGAAACCTTCAAGTGCTGTAATTATCATTTTCTCTTCTGGTTCCTTTTGTGATATGGACTTTTAAAAAGTACTTTGAAGTGGGATTAGCATCATTTGTTTCCTGAATCATCAAAATTCTTACTCCCTGCAGCATTATATAGGACCAGATATTAAACATGAAAACCCTTTTAAATGAATAAATATGAATATTTTAAAAGATTAATGTAGAAAACAAGTAGAAGAGCAGAACTATGGAATATATTCCTTAGATTGTCCATAGAGGCCCAAACAGCCATCTCTGAGAAACCCCACTGCTTTGTCATTTCAATATCTTCTTGACGGTCCCCAATCATCTTACGGAGATCTCAATCTCTCTTTCTCTAACTAAAGAAAATGTATTTAAGCAAAGCATGGATATCTTGGCTTACCACACAAATGCTTATTTACAGCACAACAGCCTGAAGAAAGCCTACATTTCATTAAAAAAGACACCATTCAATCATTTAAGCTATCTTGTCGCCTTCTCTCAAAATTCTTCCATGGTTGCCACTTCTGGTACCCACCAGCATGAAGGTGAACTGCTTAGCATTTTGGAGAGCAGGAATGGATGGATCTTTAGTCTGATTGTAGGCTGCCTGGAAGACAACCTCCTTCCAAGCTTTTTTGCCTCGAATCAAAAGTAACATTTCAACACCTCGCTCCAGCTGTGCACTTCATTCCATCTTATATGTCCTCCAGTCCAATTGGCTGTTGTGTACTCTGGCAGGCAGAGTCCACAATCCCTGCTCTCTGCTTTGGATGGCCAATTATATTGGGCTGTTGGCTTCCTTCCTCCACTCTCCTGGTTCACGAATGGAACCCCAAAATCGCACACGTTTGATTTTTTTTGAAAAAATTATTTAGCTATTCAGCAGAGTGAATTGGAAATGAATTGGAAAGAGCCCACTGCTTTTGTGAAACTATGTAAGAATGGCATTAGGAATTTCTGGTTTTAATTCAATTCTTTTTCATATCAGGAATTCATCTTATTTTTAGGATAAGAGTTAATAAAAGTCACAGATATTATTTAATCTAGTTTAATAAAATAGGATTCAGATTGATGAAATGTTATTTTAAGAGCGAAACGCATTTATGTATCCTGGAACATTTCTTAGTGGGCATACAGGAGAGATAAAAAAAGATTATGTAAGCAAAAGTCAGAATCACACCATGTTTTAGCAGACAAAAATCACTTTTAGGTTTTTTTACATCATGAATAGTAATATTTAATTGCAGTTCATTAAGGACTACATTACATTACATTTTAATCATAGTTGCCTTATTTCAGAAATGCCACAGGTTTGACTTTAGTGTTTCCCTACCTGTAACTGCTCTTAGGATTATCAGTCAAGTCTCAAGATTAAAAGCAGCTTTCCCAAATTGGGTGTCTTCCAGAACTGTTGAGCTTCCACTTCATATATTGCCCAGCCTGCTATACAAGAGACTCTGACAGAGGTCTCAAGATGTTAAACAATTCTGCCTCAATTTTAAAGAAACTCCCATCAGACTTATTCTTAAGACATTTATTTTATCTATAGATAAAATAGCTCTGGCTCTGGCTGCAGCACAGAACCACCCAATCATCAGCAAATTAGCTTCCATGAATAAAGCATATTTTGCTTGTCAGCAGATACCAGCCAATGAAATGACCAAAATACAACAAAAGTATTGGAAGTTGGCAAACTATTGATAACAAAGGGATTCTAAACAAATTAATACAAAGCATGCCACTTTAGATGTGCAACCAATAAGAACAGGAGAGTTTTTCTTTCCAGCTGAATGTCAACGCTGCTACCATCGGATGTTCTTGCTTTGACAACAGATGGAAATGTAGCCATCTTTTCTCTTTCGCTTTTAGAGTTAGATGATGCTGGGAGGGGGCATGTGGATGAGAGTCCAGTTAGTCATAACAACAACAACTCAGCGTGGGAATCAAGGTTATTGTGCCCAGAGCTGATAAGGATTTGGCGGGCTAGAGAACTGGGGAGAAAGCCCGTGCTTCAAGCTAATTGGGGAATGTGATTTATGACGGTTAATTGGAGGAGGGAATTGTGCTTTGCTACTTTGTGCCCAGGGGAGGAGAATTCAGTTTTTGGCTTTAACTATGTAATGCCGATGATTTGTTTCTCAAATAAAAGATTCTTTAAGGTAAACAATGCCTCGAAGTTCTTTTAAAGAGTTTCATCTGTCAGAACCATGACAGTGGAAAGTCAAAAGAAAAATAATAAACATTCATTCATGAGCTGACTGAAAACAAAAGAGCATTACTTTAAGACACTAACAGCACCTCCTTCTTTCCCCAAATCATAACTGTAGCTGGTGAGCTTATGAACAAGAAATATCAAGTGTTTTTTATACTAAGGATGGAAAAAAAAGGAAAACATATCAATTTTCTATGCAACATTATTCTGTTGATGCTATGTAATCTTCTAAATTGAAATAAAATCATTGCTGGTCTATACCATTAAAATAGGTAATATTGGCTTGATACCTGGCTTTAATATCTATTAATAATTTATAATTAAGTTATATATTAATTTAATAATAAATAATAATAAATGATCCCACAGAAAGGGAATGAGAAGTAAAATTTTGTATCTTTTTTCCATAACATTTTCCGTTGGATGTGAACTTCCTAGCATGATCAGGCTTACTGTGTATTTTTTACAAACTAGAAAGTGATCCAGGTGAAAAACTTAGATGTTCTTGAGAGGGCGATTATACCAATCTGTTTCATGGAGCAAGACAGTAAATCCAATATATATGGAAAACAAATGAGCTAGCTATGAGATAGCAAACATAAATAAAGAAGGTGATGTAACACCAATTGGACAACAATCTTAATAATATTGGAAACATTATTGTGTAGCCTAAGACATTCTGGACCTCAAGGATAGCACAACATTAAAATTTATAAGGAAACCAAGTGATTATCTCTTTGTATATTGTTTTTTCCATTCATGTCAGTGTTCAAAGATACTTGCTCACTGAGCAGTAATGGAACAATAAATCTTTGATTTGTATCATGAAGAATGTTTTCCAATTTGCTTTTGGCAGTGCACAATAGCCCAGACTTAATAATTAGCTCTTAATTAATGCAGTTCCTAAACAGGATGAGCTATAGGTATTAGAGACGAGCAGGGGTCACAGTTGTTGCAAGTCAAACAGTCCATTAAGCCGAAATATGCAAACACCACTTCTGTTACTGTAATATATCTAGCTTAATGAAAATTATTTAGCTCTCACACAGGATTAACTAAACTGATTTTTGAAATTCAAGATGAGGTTGTACATGCCAAGGGGGGGAAAAACCTGATACTTGAATGCATACAATATTGTATTTACCAGGGGAAAAAATTTTAAGGGTTGAAATAATCATCAATTCATACAAACATTAGAGGCTATGTTCTAATATCCATAACAACAATAGGTTACCCTCTGTGATTAGTGGATTACTAGGATACCAAGGGAGTCAAAAAAGTCAAGATGGTGGATAACATTTTCACGCTCTGCTTCTTTTATACTGAGATGCATCCAAGAAGGGGACACAGCAAGCTCTTTTGTGAAATATTTGTTTGATGGGCGGAATCTGAGTAGGGAATAAGTGAAATTTTATCTTGGGGTTGTGTTCATTTCATGTCTCACCATAATGGGCAAAATTAAATTAATTTTTTAAAGGGCAAGGTCACACAGTCATGACTAGCTTAATTACCAGCCATGTAAACAACTATTTGCACTGCAGAAGAGTTCAAGATAAAGGAAATATATTTAGGGCTAGATGTGAATTAATAGTTGCCACACAAAAGTACATTATTGGCATTTTTCCCTATCTACCAAAAGTAGCACAGTTTTTTGATATGGCCAAAATAAATTAACTTGACATTTCTCATAATACACATGTGGAAACCCTGGTGTATTATCCAACTGGATTACAACGTTCTTTTTCCATCAATCTCAACATACTAATCTTAAAATCAATGGCAACCATGGTGAGGGCTTATGAGAAGCATCAGAAAACTGATATACAAGTCCAGTTCCAGTCCTACATAACCAAGAGAAATTTCATACTAAAGGATCCGCTACTGTAGCAATTTAAAACTAGAACACCAAGGTTAGTTTCCAAGTGATATTTGCTACGGATTGGCATCAAAAAAATAAAAAATGCAAAACAGTGGAATTGAAACCCAGCCCAACCCCACATTGTGTATGTAACATCAGTGTACATTCAACAGGGTCCTGACTATCATCTAGATTTTATTTCCCTGAGAATGTGCTGATTGTTAATCTTTACAGCTACAAAAACATATCAACTTTATTATTGCAGTAAACTGTTAATTTTAATTATCCAACTCTCTTCTACATATTTTCCAAAATTCCTTTGCTAAGAAAATATACTAACAAATAATTAGCAATTTCCACAGGAAACTTTTTGTAATGCGTCAATATGAAAAAAAAATACCTAACCTTAATGCTCTTTTAGTTTAATTTGTATTTTTATAACGGCTTTTAAAGATAATCCAAAACCTGAAATATTTATGCAGCACCATCTTAATGTTTATGTTCAACCCATGCTTATCATAAGAGAAAAAAACTGTAAAATAAGTTTACTAAAAGCTATACATTTCACAGAAATAATCTATTTCGTTAATATCTATTAGTTCTTTCTTTGAGTGAAAGAAATGTAGGACATAAATAAAACACCCATCACAGAGATAAAGTGTAGTTATTCTGATGCATGGCTAAACAAGCACAGTATACATTTGATATACAGTTATATTGCATAATTGTACACCAAATGGGAACTGTTCTTTAAGCTTAATGTTACAAGCAGATGGGGATTCTAAGCCAAGCAGCAATCAGATAAAAATCCATGAACACCATTAAAAAAAAATCCTACTATAGCAGAGTTCAATGCAGGCTCTTTAAGGTCTTCCAAGACATCAGCTATTATTAATGTTTCCAGAAAACTACTAAATAGTATTCTGTTGTCATTCTATATGTTGATCTCTGTTACAGAAGAGTACGGTCTTGTGTTGATACAATTTCTTATTTTGTTTGTCCATGCCATGACACAATTCTGCTATTTCAACACACTTCTGTGTGCCAGTGCAGATAAGTGGCAAACACAGTTGGCTGGTAGCTGAAAAAAGTAAGAAAGAGCAAGATATCTCATCAGCAATTATTTTAAAATTAAGCAGCAGTGGTCAGGTTAAGACACGCATAATTCCAGCATGAAGTTGACTTGCATGTGCAAACAGGTCCATAAATACTTAGCATCATTTTCCCTGAAATTTGATCTTCTAATTTTCTGCTTATAAATCAGATGTTTCTGATCAGGCTCTTGGTCACTGTAGCTCAGCAAATATGAAAGGCACTGTTTGCCTACTACAGTATACAGAAATGAAGTAAAATGGCTTTTATCTATCATTATTCTTATATTTGGTAGAAAAATAAAAATAGCATATCCTTCTGCAGATGTCATTAGACATCTATTTATTTTTAAAAATACAATTTTGCATGCAGATTAATTTTTGGCGGATGGTCAAATTTCATTATGATTACAAGTGCAGATTAAGTTCAAAAATATATTTGAAGAAAATAGTGACAAAATATTACTATACTCCTGCCGAGAAAACAACCTAGATGGGACAAGTTAGTCACTAGGATTAAGCTAGTTCCAGGCCTGAGATCAGGGTTTCTACGGAGATGTTGATGTTGGGGGGTGTTTTAGTTCAGACAGTCGTCTGATTTTTAGTTGTGTTTTCCACATTTGCATCCAGAGTCTTCATAGAGTTGGGTGGCCTTAACAAAACATATAGGTAGATAGGAAGGTAGGAAGGCAGGCAGGCAGGTAGATTAGATGGATAGATCAGATAAGATAGATAGGATGGAAAGACAGACAAGATGGAATCTCTCTCAAATCATTCCTGATTTTCAAAATATAATTGAAGCAGCTCTACCCATTTTGGCCAACTGGAATTTTTTCCCCAAGGAACTTCATAGAAGTTGGAAATTCTTTATGATGGGAACATATTAATTATTTTGCATGCAAGTTATAAACAAGAGAAACCAAAGCCTTCATATGAGCTTGGTACAAGTGTCTAGTGCTAATTTGGCAAGTCCTTTCTGAAGCAACACTTATTGCAATTTTTAAAATAGTTTGGTTATCAGTACCTGAGCACCTAATCTGCAGAGATATCTATTCCTCAAACTAAAGTCACTCTTGGGTTGTAATTTGGCTAAATCATCTTCATTCTGACGTCTGATTTTTTCCAGTCTTTTTGCTCTGCAAAAACAAAGGGAATGTTATTAATAGACACGTAGAAAGATGAGTGGGTTAATTCTTCAGTGAATGTTATTCTTACATCAATGTACGGATGTATTGTCAGCTAAAGGAAGAGAGAGCAAGTCAAACATGTTAACAGACAGTAAAGTCAAATACTCTCTTGTCCAATATTTATTATTTAAGGTCAAATGTAAGTGCAAAGTGCAAGTTTCAACATGGTCAACCAAAGTTTAATCTCTGCCCGTAACAAAAAAAAAAATACCAGAAAACAGTTGTAATACAAAAAAAATAAAAACAGCAACTTAGCTGCTCTTTTTTAAAAGTAACATGGCTTTTGATCAGTAGGATGATGTTGTTCAATGATATATATTTTTTAAAAAAATCATACCACTAGGATTTTATTTACATTCTTTTGATCCTGTAAGACATACAACAATATTACAAAGTCACGGTTTGTAATGAGAATCATCACATTTTGTAACAAACAATCCCTTCAGAACACAAGCTGGTGAGTACCAAGACATCATTATCTTGTAGACAAACCACCCTTACACAAAACAGAAGGGCAGATATCACTGTTCACATGCCAATTAACTTCAGGGAGCTGAAGAAGCCGACTTTGCTTCAAACAGAGTAGGTCTCTTCAACGATGTGGAGTATACATATATACAAAAAGTTTGCTCTGCTTGCAGTCCGGGTGCCTTGATTAAGAGAGACGTTTGACATGCTGTTATGTTCAGCAAATGTAACTGTGTTTTCCTGAGTGAACTACTTTTGAGTGCAACTTGAGGTCTATCACTTGAACATGTACATGTACTAGAATATTCTTCAACGGGATTGTTGTTGATCAAGTGCTGCCCAGTTCTGGAAGGTATTTCCTATTCAGATTTCTTTTCTGCAAAACATATTGTAGCAAACAAGTTATTGTAACTATGTGCTTATAAGGCCCTCAAAAATGCCATGGTGCAGGACTGAATGTATTAAGAACTATCAGAAAGGGTTCAGTTCTCAATTTTCTCCAGTCACAACTGCTGAAAATCGATTAACAGTTGCTTGCTACATTAAAATGGAACCACTCAAAATTATTGTACACATCTCCAAAATAAACTTAGCAAGGCAAACAACTTCCCAAACAATATACTGTACATGATACAGTTTGCCCATTTTCCATCAGTTACTCATTATGGCTCTTATCCTCCCCCTTCCAAAAAAGAAAGAAAAAGATGTTAAGCATTTGCTCACCCGTGCTTTAATTAAAGAAGACACATCTGATGTAAATTCTAATATCAATGTCTTTTGGGTGACGGGTGGCTTTACTTAAAACTGCTAGAACAGCACAGTAATTTCTATTGTCTAAAGTGATCCTGCATCACACACTCTTGATTTATTTGGATTTTACTATTATTATTTTTAAGACTGAGATTCCCATTGTCCCTTAAGTTTCATATTCCATCTGACTACTCATACTACTATGGTAACCTTTTGGTAAATGGGAAAATTTTCACAATTTAAGAACTCAATTTTTAAGATGCTAAAAAGAAAATGGAAAATTTGTCTTGGCTTCATCTGACATTAAGTGCTCCTAGAGCACAGGTCTCAAACTCGTGATGTCACGTGTCGTGTCGTGACGTAGCATGACTTTTTTCCCCATTGCCTTGCAGCAATGGAGTGGGTGCAGTTTTGGTGTGACGCATCCGGCCAGCGGGCCGGCAGTTTGACACCCCTATCCTAGAGGTTTTCAAATGCAATCCCCACCTTATTTGATCATCAGCTTTACTGGAAGAATAAGACAGGGAGTTTTAATTTGACACATCTGGAGAAGATCAGGTTAGGGAACAGTTTAGAAAACTGTATATAAGTTAAAAAAAAGTCTAGCTGCGTGTTGTAATTGGGAGTCAGATGGCATAAACAAATAAATAAATAAATAAATTTTGGGCAGCAAGGCAAGCAAATCCAATGCTCTCAATCCAGCACAAACTCTCATGCATTCAGAAGAAAGGTTAAAATGCAAAGATATAAAGCTGCAGTTCTATATGTACCAGGCCAGTACTTCAATTAACTACTGAAGAAATGACTTGAACAAGACTAAATTTCGTTGTCTTGGGGTAAGCCTGAATTTTTGCTATTTCCAAAATTTAATATATAAAAAATGGTCTCAATTCCAGCATTTGAACAGTCAATTACTTTTATATTCCTTTTTCCCTCTATGTTTCAGATCCTTAAACTGACTCCAGCAACAAAGGAGAACCATGTCTATTTTATATAATACACCAGAACACGCTTCTGCAATTTATAAAAAAAGCTGTTTCATGTTGAAATATATTTCTCTCCCCTAAAATGGCTGCTATAGGGTTACATGGTACATAGAACCAGGACTGTGATTAAACCAACTCAGGTAATATATGAAGTCTCTTTATAAATTTCTACCAACAATTATACAGAGAATAGTTTTAACACTACTTAATCCTATTTTTGTTTATTATGATGCAGCTTAAATTATCCACTATTTTCTTCTCAAGGTATTTCCAATGAACCTCAGGATATATCTGAAAAATCTAGGAAAGTGTTTTGACTTTAGAAGGAGGCACATTTGGAATGAACTTTTTATGGTGTTTAAGCACTTGAGTCTTTCATACTGCTCTCAAAAAACCTCAATAATTAAAGATTTGAAGACTGCTTAAACAAATATTTAAAGAACGAAAGACCCACAATTTCCTATAAAAGATAATAACAGACCAGTGCAACATATTTCAAGTGTTAAATGGAAGTTGCAATTAGTACAAAACATAGCTGCTTTCCTCCTGGGAAGCCAGAGCCACCGGTATGGGTTGCCAATAGATTTCCAAGTACAATTCAAAGTGCTGTCCTTATGAAGCCCTACCTAGAGGCCATCTGCTATACAAAATACAAATAACTATACAGCTTAATGTCTATGGAGATTCTCAGTCATCCAGGTCATGGTTGTCCCAAAGGTGCTTTTTCAAGAGGCAACTGGACTTTCTTTGTTCTTCCTTGAAGACATTTCACTTCTCACCCAGAAGCTTCTTCAGTTCTGAAGAGGTTCAGGTTGAGAAGTAAAACATCTTCAAGGAAAAACAAAGGAAGTCCAGGTGCCTCCTGGAAAAGCACCTTTGGGACAACTATTCAGCTTATGTATCCTATCCATGTAACAATCAGGGTGAGAAAGCTAGAAAATACTACTTTTTGTGTAAGCTCCATCCATGTGAAACAGTGCCCCCTCCTAAGATCTAGCTGCTATCTTCCTTGATGACCTTCTGGAAGCCAGTTCAAGCTGTTGCAAAGAGTATTAAATCTCCATGGTTGCAGAGAGAATTGTCAAGAGTTCTTTACTTATATGTATTTTTATGGATATATATAGCCACCAGCAACCTTTGTTGAGATTATTTACTGTGATTCCAAAGTGAAGAGTTATACATATTTGTATAACTAGGGATAAGCTTTTTTACCTTTCAAAAACTGCAAAGAAATACATTTTGTCAGGCGTACAAATTCATCTCACAATACAATGAACATTCTGATCCTATTAAATCAAAATAGTACATATTTCAACCCTCAGATCTTTTGCATGCCAATTTGCAATCAAGGGATTTTTCTAATACCACCTATACTGTAGGACCACTACTATGTACTTACTCAGCCATGGCTAACTTCTGCAATTTTTCTCTCTTCTTTGCAGACCAGTTAAGGTCTCCTCCTATGAAAGAAAGGATATACATATAATTTAATAGGGCATCATTCTTACAAATCTTTACCATCTTTAATTCTCAAGAAACAGGTACCATAATACAAGTTTATGTTGTCCAACTTTAGCGGCATAAATATTTAAGAAACATTTTTTTAACATTGGAGAAGAAAAACAAACTCCAACCTGAGGAAGGTAAAGGCTCATAGAAAACAAAGTTGGTTAAATGTGGAGAATTTCAGAAATTATGTTTGGACTCGAAAAGAAGTCACCACCAAATTTATTGCATGGCAGTGCATTCCACAAAGGACTACTTTTCAAGACCACCGGAAATTGCAATTGATTAAATATATTGTGGCTTCCTTGCTATAATGAACACATGCACTGCTCATTTTATTGCATACCCGCCACTTGCTGCAAATAAATTCTGGGATGCAATTCAAAGTGCTGGTTTTAACATATCAAGCCCCTTCTGGCTTGGCCCCTAGTTACTTGCCGCATTGCCTTCTCTGCTACAATCAACACCTTCCCTTATGAATATATTATATTTATCCAAAGAGGTCAACATTCATAGAGACTGTACTTCCTTCACTCCATCAAAATATAATCAAACAGAAAAATATTTGTCTATTTCCACTGGAATCTAAGATAATTCTATTTTGAAGTTTATTAATTGGGCTCAACTCTAGTCTTTCTTTCAAGAAAACACAGTTGTGTAAATGACCTTTGAAGTGAAACTGATTATACTTTTAGAAAAATTAAAAGAATTGCAATTTCAATATATTAGATTAAAACCCCCAGTAAATTATCTATAAAAGAAAAATCTATAAAAAAGGACAATCAAGATTCAGAATCTTTACATTCTTACATTTAAACCATCAGCAAAGAATAGCTGATTTATTTTATTTTAAAAGAATCTGTTGTGATGTTATTTCAAGGCAAAGTTACCATTTTTGCACATTGCTGATTCAAAGATGCAAGCGTCAATACAAGATAAGACAGCAAAATGCTTACCTCTGAACAAATTCACAAAGTATAACATGACTACAGCAATAAGGGCACCTGCAAGGCAAAAATAAGTAGTTATATAAAGGAAAATAACATATCATGAAAATTAGCCTTAATATGTACATGCAAACATAGCAAAAATAGCATGTACACAATTTTCAAGAAGAAGAATACTAAAGTGTAAATATTTGATGTCTCAGCTAGCTTCTACAACAAGGGGCTTTTTTTCTCCCCAAATGTAAGACTGAGGGCAATGTGTCAAAAGTAGCCAGACACCAAGTAAGTAAGGCAAAACCAGGACATGGAACTGATCGATCAATACAAAAGCTTAAGGGCCATAAAGATCCGAGGACCAGAGTGGCAGAAACAATCTCTTCTGCTCAAATCTTGTTAGCTTGATAGGTTCTTATAAAGATCAGATGTAAACCCATGACTTGTTTTGGTCTACAGCTACCCAACATGCTTCTTTGTTGGAATACCTGTTACAGTGTAATTCAAACTGATACCCTGAAGATGCACTGAAAATTTCTGTAATGTCTGACACAGACTGGGAATAAAAAATCAAATGCTTTTGGAGAGAAAAAAAGTGGCCCGAAACAAGCAAAATTCATTGCCTAATATCCCACAAGTACTAAACCACATGAAAATTACATCTTTGTCAAACAAGCAAACCCACCAAGAGTTTTCTCAGAGTATTTTATTCCAGTTTATAAAGTGCAATGAAGTTATTTTAAAGAAAAAAAGGGGGAAACTTCCTTTTTATTTGAAAAATGGGGAAGGATGAGAAAAACATGGCATTTAATCAGAATTTCTCTTGCAAGCAATTTCTAAAACTATTTCACAAACTACTGATGTTGTGTAATTCCTTTATATACAACATCAGTATATCCCTTTCATAGGACTTTATACTTACAACACAAACAAGAACTGAAGAAAATTTCTAAGAAGAAATATCCTCGGGAATCCAATATCATACCAGCAGCAATGGCAATGATTGCAAGACCCAAATTCTGGATTGACTGCATGCTGGAAAACAGAAAGAACATTCCATAACTCCACTTAAGTTTCCAACCAGCACAAAGAAGCAAGTTTAGAAAGCTGCCTCTGCTTTTTCTGTAAAATATAAAACATCTTAGACGCCAACTAAAATGGTATTTGTGTATTAAAGTCCAAGACATATAATTACCACTTAAAAAGAAGGCTGAAGTAGAAAGAAGCCACATCTTTACAGAAAAGACAGTCTCACCTGCTGTAATGGGGGAAAGGAATAACCGTGTAGAACAGAAGGAAGAACTGCAACCAAGATAATCATCAAATAAAAGAAATTTAAGCCTGAAGTAGAAAACATCTCCTCCCTAGATCTCCTCCCTAGATCTCACAAAGATAAAGGGAGGGGGTGTATTGAAACTTGCAAGATTGATGCTGGAGGCGATTAGTGAACCAAAAGTAGGGATTCTATTTTTATTATAAGGTTATAGTAACAAATCTTAAAAGTCTGCCTGCGCTTTTTCCCTTTATCTTCATGAAAACTAAGGAGGGTCCTATCTGATACACTTTTTTTCACAGTTCCATGTGATCTTGGAAGAAAAGCTTCAAAAGTCATACATTAATCAATTTCCTAAAACAGCAGCCCTGTTTTTCAGATTCACACAGGAGTGTCAACAAAAATAGGCTGTTTAGTCAAAGGAACAGAAATGCTGTTCTTATGAGACCCAAACCATCTTCTTCTGAAGCATTTTTGAAGCTTGCATGAACAAAACTTTTACAATCCCAGGCAACAATATATTGATAGCTGTGCATGGTCAAGGAGGCGCACACGTGGGGATATGTAGTACATAAAATGTTCAGAGATCTGCCCTTGCGGGTCAACACTCATGTCTCCATCAGACATTTAATGTTGGAGAAATGAACACCATTCCAAGAAGTCAACTGGAGAGACTGAAGGGATCTGGAGTGGGCTCTGATATGCGTACACATTGGTCAGATGTGCCTGCATGCAATCCATTTCTTTCTTGTTGCACTTCAATCTGGTCACAGCACACACTTTCAATCAGTTGTGGAAGTCAACAAAAAAAACCCACCTAAATTCAGATTTTGAATCAGGCCTGGAATATCTTAAATCAAGGACAATTTCTAGTACTCAGAGCTGTATCCAAGTATTCCTTATTTTGGAACATTGGCATAACATCCCCCCCCCCAGGTTAACCAAATAGTAATCTGCTAAGCATGTAGAATAGTCAAATATGGAGCTATAAATAAAATGGCAGGGGACTATAGAACAGTTATGATCAGAAGTTTAAAGATGACATGCAACGAGATCCAAAGATCTGTTACTTACAATCCATAGGCAGTTCCCAGCTGGTGTTCGGGGACAACAAAAGCAACCATAGGCCATAAGGCACAGGCAAGCAAGGAATAAGCAACTCCAAGCAAACACTGTAAGAGAAAAAAAACATTTATACTAGGCATTAAGAGTGAGCAAACCAAAGTTCCTAAGAGACCAAACTGTATGGGCTTAATAAATATGTCATTCTTCTATTCTGTTACCCAGTTGTAAAGCTGCTTCATTTGTTTTTTCTGCAGTTAAACAGCAACTAAGTGCAGCTGCTGAGCTAAATAATGCAACAGCCAACAGTATCTAACATCATTAGATGCACCATTATCACTAATATCTAGACTGGCAGTACACATGTATGGGGGAGTTGAAGCCATCCAGATCTTATGGGACTGGAACTCTCATTATCACACCCCAGGCATGTTGCCGAAGTTTGATGGACAGTGAAGTTCAGCAATATTTGGAAGACCATGTTTTGCCAATGTTATAGAAAGCTTGGCATCTGGATTGTACAGGAAGGTGATCAAAAATTTTGAACAGTTTTATTAAGCTGTGCTCCTCTAAATCTGCTGGAAGCATACTCATCCAGCTAGCATAGCCTTATGTTTGGGATTATGGGAGTTGATATCCAAATGAATAGGGATGCACATTTAAGGGCAAAGTACTTGACATACTTTATTTCACAAAATATAAACTTGAATGAAATACCTACCATTGCTATCCAAGGGTTCCAGAAAGTAAAGGCCAACATAATGTGAGAGGCTAGAGTTCCCACCACTGCACACATAACCCATGTGATGTTCCTTCCAAATTTATCTACTAGAATTCCAAAGATAGGGGACATTGGGGCCGATATGACATACACAATGCTGAAATGGAAAACAGAAAAGTCATGTCAAAGCAATGAGATCAATTTTCCCACTACAGAATAATTCCTCTGTCCTTCAACCTCATTTTTCCCCAGGACACCTTTGAATTATCCATGACTTGATACATTGAGATATACAATGATTCCTATCAATAAACTCACAAAACTCTGAAGATTTTTTTAAGGCTAAAAATAACTTAGAGAATGTAGCACAATAATAAGGAAATTTTGCACTTCCTTTCATGATCTTATTTTAAGGAAGACATTAAAGATTTTTGGAAGCACAAGCTTGAAGTAGACTTCTCTCATGGAAATAATGGTTAATGCAACAATAAAGCAACTTAAAATTAATAACACTGACCTATTAATCGCACTTGCTGCTTGAGAAGAAAATTTGAATTTCTCAATGAAGAAAACTCTGTAAAACAATAATCAAGGATATTTTTGTGGTTCTGTATCAGCTTAGGCTGTAAGTAATCTGCATATCTAGCAACAGATGAACATTACTGTGGACTAGTGACAAATCACAAAAACATTCTTGACTTAAATAAATTATTCTGCATTGTATGTAAGTCTCCCTGATGTCTTCTAGAGAAGGAAGCAACATGTGTAGCATACAGTACATGGCTGTTGAATATTGAGTAGGAACTCAGGGAGTTTTAGTCCCACCCTATCACTTTAGATAGAATGCATAAAAATAACTGTAAGCAACACTGTTGGAAAGGCAGTCACATTACAGGCAATCCTTGTCTAGTGAGCACAATTGGGACTGGAAACTCAGTCGTTAAGTGAAGCTTAAAGGGACGTTGGAATTTCAGATCTAGTCCTAAGTCCCCTTTCTCTGGTAGGTGATAACTTCAACCAGTCATAAGTAAAAGACTAGCTGAACTGCTATCCACATTGGGAAAAGCACCATCTACCTACCCCTCTATATCATGAGGCCCATATGTTCCATCCAATGTTAAAGGGACAAAAATCAGGCAATATCTAAATAGGAAATACTTGGATGAGTAAAGTCAAATCAGAATCTCCAGGTGTTTGACTTCAACTCCCATAATCCTCTATCAAGCATAAGCAAAGGCCATAATTTAGGTTCAAAGTCAAAAGCATTTTTCCTTGTTTGTCTTTTATATTGTTTTTCATTTTTCTGTTCTGTTTAATTAAAGGCAAACACATTTTTAAAAAGCAAAAACCACACTGAAGTACACAAACATACTTAACAGTCTGATAGAAATATAATGAACATTTTATAACAGCCAAATAAATCTGATTTCTTGATAATCATGCACTTACTTTCCAAGTCCAATGAAAGGGAAGACAGCCACATAATAACAAACACAGATTAAAAATATGAGCCATAATGATAATGAGAAGTCTTTCACATCAGTTATTTTTATTACTTCACCTTGAGAAAAAAGAAATGCCAGCATTAGCTATCTGCACCATTAAGAATACATCCTTGACAAGTATATAAAACGTCACATTCAAGGAATTATGAACACACTAGGTAATTATGACAGTTGCAGAATAGGAATGATTCATGTACTAATATTAATATTAATATTAATAAAGTTGGAAGGGACCTTGGAGGTAATCTAGTCTAACCCCTGCTCAGGCAGGAAACCCTATACATTTCAGACAAATGGCTGTCCAATCTCTTCTTTAAAACCTCCAGTGTTGGAGTATTCACAGCTTCCAGAGGCAGGCTGTTCCACTGATTAATTGTTCTGTCAGGAAATTTCTCCTTAGTTCTAGGTTGCTTCTCTCTTTGGTTAGTTTCCATCCACTGCTTCTTGTCCTGCCTTCAGGTGCTTTGGACAATAGCTTGACTCCCTCTTCTTTGTGGCAACCCCTAAGATATTGGAACACTGCTATCATGTCCCCCCTCGTCCTTCTCTTCATTAAACTAGACATACCCAATTCCAGCAACCGTTCCTTATATTTTTTAGCCTCCAGTCCGCTAATCATCTTTGTTGCTCTTCTTTGTACTCCTTCTAGAGTCTCAACACCATTTTTATATCATGGTGACCAAAACTGGGATGCAGTATCCAAGTGTGGCCTTACCAAGGCATTGTAAAGTGGTATTAACACTTCACGTGATCTTGATTCTATCCCTCTGTTAATGCAGCCTAGCACTGTGTTAGCTTTTTTGGCAGCTCCAGGACACTGCTGGCTCATATTTAAGTGGCTCATATATTTCATTGGAAAAAACAAGTCACAGATCATTCATGTTATCAGCAAAAAAGCTCCACAGCAAGGAAAGAAGCTAAAAATTGTTTAATTTCCCAACCAGAGTAAAGTCTGGTACTCAAACACTTTATGGCCAAGATGAGCAAAGTCAATCATCCTATTCTGAGTTTTCGCATACTTAGAGCAGGGCTTTTCAACCTTTTCACCCATTGTACCACTTTTAGGATACGGCAACATCCGAGTACCTCCAGTCGCCTAGCAAGGGGTCAAAAACTTGATGACCAAAAAAAAAAAAAAAAGGAAAAAAGTGATAAAGTACAGGTAGTCCTCGACTTACAACAGTTCACTTAGTGACTGTTCGAAGTTACAATGGCACTGAAAAAAGTGCCCCCCAAGCCACAGCCAAGCAAGACACCTGCCTGCCCCCCTTCCCGGTGGCGCTCTTCCTCCTGTCCGAGGTTTTCATTGTTGTGAGCATTTCTGTTGAGGATTGGCAGCGGGGGTGGGGTGGGGGGGTGTTTGGTTTTTATTCCCCCGTCTGCTGGGTGGTTGCAGCAGGTTTTGGTCACTTCACATGACCCTGGCACACTGTGACCGTCATAAATATGAATCAGTTGCCAAGCATCTGAATGTAAATCACGAGACCCTGGAGATGCTGCAACATTCCAGCTAATCGGCGCTTCTCCTGGGCTCAGCAGTAGCGCCAGGATCAGTGCCGAGCTCCAGCTGGATCCTGGCGCTGATCCTGGCGCTTCCGCTAAGCCCTGACAGCCCTGCAGCTCCAGCCATCTCTCGCTCAGGCTTGTGCAGTGCTGCCACTGGTTCAGCTCATTCCCCTCCCCCGCTACCACTTTTCTAGGATGGTCGTGTACCTCCTGCCAGGTGCCAATGTACCACAGGTGGTACCAGTACCACTGGTTGAAAAGCCCTGACTTAAAGGAAGGAGGCAATGAAGGAGACCAACATACCAGTTTTCCCTTGTTCTTTGCAAAGAATTTTCTCTGCTCTTTTGTCCAGGTAAGCAAGAATAAGAGCACAAACTAGTGAAAAGATACATGTAATACCACCTGCAATTAATAGAACAGAAAGCAAATTAATAACATTTATGCCATAAATGAGCATAAAATTGGTTTACAATTCTACACATTTTCAGTATAATGTGTATAAAGTATATACACAGTATAAATGAATGTGGAATCTATCTACCAATGGCTTTATCAAACCAATTGCTAAAATCATTAGCATTATATCACAAAAATATTTCAAGATGAGGCCCTGAAAATAAAGAACCCAGGTATAAATTGTGTAGAGGATATTTTTTTTCATGCCAGGGATCACACTAAGTCTTAAGTGGCTTATTGGGGGTAACAGTGCAAAGAACAATGGGGCAAAGGAAATGGGTTGCGTCAGTATCAAATCAGAACCTGATTCCACTTAAATTAAATATGCAAAGCATTCAATATCCATTTTATAAATAACGTTTTGCTTTTATCACAAGAAGCATTACAATAGAGTGGCAATATCTGGAGAGCACGTCAGGGCCAGAGTGAAGGGTTTTGAAGCCTTCAGGCAATGCTAAGGCTTTAAAGTAGAAATCCATAAGTGATGAAAATGATAACTCCTGCAATGCATGCTGGTTGGGGAATTCTGGGAGAAGACTACGCATCTTTAAAGCAGCCAAGGTTAAGAAATGCTGCAATCTGCATGAAGGACAAGCTTGATAAAACTGAAAATTGATAGTTTAACAACAGATTTTCAATTCCTGAAATAAAAAATACATTATTTTTGTAAACGGTAAAAATATTTACTAACCTATCAAGAGTGCTATGCCCAGAGTGGTATGGCCTGTTGAACCAAACAGATCATGAACTTTCCAGTACACCCATCCCATAATATTCATATTCACGGTGCTCCCCTAGAGATAATCATTATAATTAAGCCATATTATTTCCTTCCATTATATCAAAAAACAACAAGCCCAGAAGAATCTTTGTAAATAAAATTTAATTTGAATCTTAAGCTTCTATATAGATATCAGAAAAGATTCAGTATCCTTTTTTCCTTCTGATCAATAGGAAATGTTCTATATTATATATTTTTCACTTCAAGCTCTACAAAGCACATATCTAACATCATATACTTGTTCCAGGAACTTAAGACTGTGTACATATTTTTTTCTTACAATAACAATGTGGAATAATTTGGGCTAAGAAAGTATGACTGGCTCAAGATTATCAAAGCTGTGAATGGACTTGAACCTGGCACTCCATTACTCTAGTCCAACATTTTAACTATTATTCTATAGTGGTTCCTATCTTTATTCATTCTTTTCCCATCTAAATTCCAAATGTAACCGTCTTAGTGCAGTGTGCATTGTACATGTTTTTAGGGAATCTTTGAAAAAACATTTCTTAGAACTGGCAGTCCTCAACTGGAACAAATAAAATTGCACCCATTTAGATATCATTTTGATCAGATGCTTGGAATACTCAACAAGAATATATATTCCTCTAGGCCAGTGTTTCTCAACCTTGACAATTTTAAGGCATGTGGA